CTTCGGTGCTGTCTGGGACCCGTGTTGCTCCCTGGCTTGCGGCATCCTCTTCTGGACACAGCCCTCCGGCTGTGCCCCTGTGCTGTTCTCCCCCATTCCGGGGGTGTATCAGCAGTCCTCAGTCTGCACCAGCCTTCGTGGCCAACTGCAGCCCCAAAATCTAGCCCCTTGCCTCAGTGGCAAGCCAGTCTGTATCGGGCCACACTGTTCCACAGCCAGGTGCAGTGTAAGGGGGGAGGGAGGGACCCAGGCCCCCCACTACTCTGGGTCCTGGCCCAGGGACCCTCTGGCAGCAGCCATGTCCCACCCTCCTTCTCTCCCCTCTACTGTTTGCGCTCCCTGGGCCACTTCCCTTTGGCCCTAGCACCTTCTCGGCTCTTTCTTTCAGGGGCCTCAGCCTGGCAGGTATCAGGCTGGAGCTTTCCCTCTGCTTCCCTGAGCCTGCCCAGCACTGCTCTATCTAAGGTGCTATGCCTGGGAGCCGGTCCTCCTCCCTTGCTTGTCAGGGAGAGACTCCTGTCTCCTCTGCTTTGCAGCCTTTATATAGAGCCCAGCCTGGCCCTGACCGGCTTCTTCTAAGCCTTCTCTGGTTGGCTGGGTTCTGCACAGCCGTTCCAATGGCTGCCATTAACCCTTTGTCTGCCAAAGTGGGGCAACTGCCCCACTACACTGACCCACAGGTTCACAGGAAGACTAAGCTCTTTTACAGTCCATTGTCTCTTGCTGATGGGCCATCAGCACTGTCGACCTTTTTCATTGTTGTACCTGAAGTGTTAGCAGGGGGCATCACACAAACTAGCATAGTTGAAATACAGATACATAGTCAATATTTCTAATTTCAGATACAGAAATGATAGAGGCATACAGATAGGATAATTGCATTCAGTAATCATAACCTTTTCAATGATATCTCACATGAGCCATCTTATATAAAGTATATCTCAGTTTATGTCATATTCATATCATAAGCATATTTTCATAAAGAATATGGAATGATACATCACACTTTTGTCATCCGAACTGGTGTAAAACAAGGATGTATATTGGCACCCACCCTTTTCTCCATTTTCTTAGCAGCCATGAAAACATTAACCCAAGACCGTCTACCACAGGGCATTGGCATCCAATATTGGATTGACGGCAACCTCTTCAACCTTTCTCATCTCCGTGCCAGAACTAAAATAATAGCAGCAACAATAACTCAAACTCCAGTATGCAGATGATTGTGCTGTAGTCGCACATTCAAAGGAGGATCTTCAAACAGCCCTTAATTGCTTCTCTGAAGCTTACAAAAGCCTAGGGTTAACTCTGAACATTGGCAAAATAAAAGTTCTCCACCAGCCATCCCTCGGTCAATCATCAGAGCTAGCGAGGAAGATCTACATCAACAAAGAAGAACTGGAAAATGTAGAATACTTTGCCTACCTTGGCATCCATCTGTCATGGAGGGCAGACATAGACGTCAAGATTCAGCACGGAATTTGCTATGCCAGCCTTGCCTTTGGCAGACTGTCTCGCCTGGTGTTCAATAATCACAACATCAGAATGCATAGTAGACTTTTAGTTTATAAAGCAGTGGTAATCCCAACTCTCCTCTATGGCTGTGAGACTTGGGTGACCTACAGAAAACATCTGAAAAACCTGGAACGCCAGCACCAACACTTTCTCTGAAAGACCCTCAACATAAAGCGAGAGGATCATCGCACTAATGTCAGTGTCCTCACAGAGGCCAGCATCGTCAGTGTTGAGGCCCTGATTATCCAGCACCAGCTGAGGTGGAGCAGGAACTGTGTGTGCATATCTGATATACGACTGCTGTTCACCCAACTCACCAAGGGAGAAAGGAAATGGGGAGGCCAAAAGAAATGCTTTAAAGACGCCCTCAAGATAACCATAAAGAGATGTGGCATTGACACCACACACTGGGAGACAGCAGTCCAGGAGAGGGATAACTGGCCAAGACTTGTCAGGGAGGGAACGTCCACTTCTGAGGAAAATCACCTTGCCCTGGTCACAGAAAAACTTCAGAAAAGAAAGGAAAGACAACTGTCACACAGCAATCATGGCACAACCCTGTCTTCCAACACCACCTGCAACATCTGCTAACAAGCCTGTGGCTCAAGGATCGGACTCCTCAGTCACCAAAGGACCCATGAAAAATAAAACCTGTGAAAGAGATCATCCTCGACCTCGAGGGATTGCTGACAACACAGCACACACCATTTGCACAACAGAGACCTGCTTGGGGTAAAAATAAACTAAAAATGTATTTAATAGAAAAGCCCCAGATTCAAGGATAGTGAGGAAAAGCCACCCAGACAAGCTACACAGAAAAGAAAAAGATGTAACCTCAATTCCGTACATTCAGCAAGGTCCTGCAAGCCAGGGCTGCATTGAACCTCCCTGCAAACAAAGGGCCTGGCAGATGGCATGGAGAGGGACAGAGACAGCAGGAGAAAATGGAGAAAGGCCCAGGAGTCCCAGCAGAAAAAGGAGAGGGAGATGCACGAGGACACAATGGGGCTTCTCAGGAAGCAAACACAGATGCTGCAGACTCTAGTTGACCGACAGGTCCAACAGTCACGGATTCGCCACCTTTTGCAGTCCTCAGAGAACTTTATGGGGGCAGCTCCCTACACTCCCCAACATTCACTGGGACATCATGGATTGCATCCTTACCCTGTCCCTCCACCCTGGGGGACAGCCACAGCTTCACCTACACTGACCTGTTAGAGCCATGGTTGGTGTCTGTGTAGCCAAAATATAGAGAAATGTTATTTTGTTATTAGCTGCCTTTCTCATTTTAAAGTTTTGTTCCATTAAATTATGTTAGAAATTAGTACTGTAATGTCAAAAAGAAAAGGAGTACTTGTGGCACCTTAGAGACTAACCAATTTATTTGAGCATGAGCTTTCGTGAGCTACAGCTCACTTTTCTTTTTGCGAATACAGACTAACACGGCTGTTACTCTGAAACCTGTCATTATACTGTAATGTCCTTTGTTATTTGCACATTGAGTTCTTTTGCATTGTTGTCTCACTCAATAAAGTACTATTGTTTGAAAATAAACCCATCTTTATTAGTTCCTCATACGTATTGCAGAATGTATAGTGGTACTCAAAACACCCAGTACATGTAAATGTACTGCACCACAGAACTCATATGTTCAACAAAACACCCAGTTATAGACTCATAGATTTTACAGCAAGAAGGGGCCATTGTGATCATCTAGTCTGACCTCCTGCACATTGCAGGCTCCAGAATCTCACCCATCCATTCCTGAAATAGACCCCTAACCTCTGGCTCTGTTACTGAAGTCCTCAAATCATGATTTAAAGACGTCAAGTTACAGAGAATCCACCATTTACACTAGTTTAGATCTGCAAGAGACCCATGCCCCCCCATGCTGCAGACAAAGGCAAAAAGCCCCCAGGGTCTCTGCCAACCTGACCTGGGAAAAATTCCTTCCCAACCCCAATTGCATGTGGGTAAGACCCAGTCAGATACCTGGAAAAGAATTCTCTGTAGTAACTCAGATCGCTCCACGTCTAGTGTCCCATCTCTAGGAGTTGGAGACTTTTGCTACTAGCAGTCACCGATGGGCCACATGCTATTGTAGGCAGAGTCCCATTATACCATCCCCTCCATAAACTTATCAAGCTCAGTATTGAAGCCAGTTAGGGTTTTTGCCTCCACTTCTTCCCTTGGGAGGCTGTTCCAGAACTTCACTCCTCTGATGGTTAGAAACCATCATCTAATTTCAAGCCTAAACAGGTTGATGGCCAGTTTATATCCATTTGTTCTTGTGTCAAAACTGGTGCTTAACTTAAATAACTCCTCTCCCTCCCTGATATTTATCCCTCTCATGTATTTATACAGAGCGATCATATCTCCCCTCAGCCTGGACCCTGTGATCGACCAATACACGCAGGTTTTTCTCCTTCTCTGTCGCTTCAAACTGATACATCCCCAGCTTATAGCTAAAATTCTGGTTGTTAGTCCCTAAGTGCATGACCTTGCACTTTGCACTATTAAATTTCATTCCATTTCTATTACTCTAATTTTCAAGGTCATTCAGATCTTCTTGTATGATATTCCGAGCCTCCTCTGTATTGGCAATACCTCTCAACTTTGTGTCATCTGCAAATTTTATTAGCACACTCCCACTTTTTGTGCCAAGGTTGTTAATGAAAATGTTAAATAAGATTGGTTCCAAGGCTGATCCCCGAGGAATTCCACTATTAACCTCCCTCCAGCCTGACAGTTCAACTTTCAGAATGATGTGTTTTAGTCTCCCCTTTAACCAGTTCCTTATCCATCTTTCAGTTCTCATATTAATCCCTACCTTCTCCAATTTAACTAATAATTTCACATGTGGAACTGTATCAAATCCCTTATTGAAAACCAGATAGATTAGATCTACTGCATTTCCTATGTAAAAAAAAAACAGTTATCTTCTCAAAGGAGATCAGGTTGATCTGGCATGATTTACATTTTGTAAAACCATGTTGTATTTTATCCCAGTTTACTATGTCCTTAAATACTTTCTCTTTCAAAATTTGTTTCAAGACCTTGTATATTACTGAGGTCAAATTAACTGACCTGTAGTTTCCTGGATCACTTTTTTTCCCTTTCTTAAAAATAGGAACTATATTAGCAATTCTGCAGTGATAGGGTACAACTCCTGAGTTTACAGATTCATTAAAAATCCTTGTTATTGGGCTTACCATTTCATGAATAGGCGCCGACTCCGTGGATGCTCTGGGGCACCCACAGGGAAAAATTGGTACTGGCAGCCAAGCTCCCCACCTCAGCTCACCTCACCTCCGCCTCCTCCCCTGAGTGTGTTGCGTCCCTGCTTCTCCTCCCAGTGCTTGCCACCACAAAACAGCTGTTTTGCAGCGTAACAAGTTCTGGGAGGGAGGGGGGAGGAGCGGGAACGCGGCGCGCTCAGGGGAGAAGGTGGGGAAGAGGCGGGGCCGAGGTGGGGATTTGGGGAAGGGGTGGGAATAGGAGCAGGGAGGGGGCAGAGTTGGGCCAGGGACTTTGGGGAAGGGATTGGAATTGGGGGGCGCAGGCGTGGGAGGGGGCAGGGCAGAGCACCCACCAGCACCTGCAGAAGTCGGCACCTATGATTTCATGTACCAGTTCCTTTAATATTCTTGGATGGAGTTTATCCGGTTTCATCCCAATAAGTTGTCTGAGTTTGAATTCCACCTAAGATGTGGTAATTTCTACTTTCATATCCTCATTTCTATTAGCCACACTGCCACTGCCATAGACTCATAGAATCATAGAATATCAGGGTTGGAAGGGACCTCAGGAGGTAATCTAGTCCAACCCCCTGCTCAAAGCAGGACCAATCCCCAACTAAATCATCCCAGCCAGGGCTTTGTCAAGCCTGACCTTAAAAACTTCAAAGGAAGGAGATTCCACCACCCTCCTAGTGAAAAAGTTTTTCCTAATATCCAACCTAAACCTCCCCCACTGCAACTTGAGACCATTACTCCTCGTTCTGTCCCTCAGCTCCTCATTACCCTTATTAAAAACTGAGGCAAAGTATTTATTTAGGTGTTGGGCCATGCCTAGATTATCTTTAATCTTCACCCCATCTTCAGTCTCTAGGAGTCCCACTTCTTCTTTCCTTGTTTTCGTTTTATTTATATCAGTATAGAACATTTTACTGTTGGTTTTAATCTCCTTTGCAAGGTCCAACTCTGCTTGGCTTTTGGCAGTTCTCACTTTTTCCCTACACTTTCTGACTTCCAAGTGGTAGCTTTCCTTCCTGATCCATCCCATCGTCCACTCTTGTAGGCTTTCTGCTTTCTCTTAATCACCTGTTTAAAATGCTTGCTCATCAAATTTGGTTTGCAACCCTTCCTTATGAATGTTTTCCTCTTCCTTGGGAGGCAGGCTCTAGCTAGCTTCTGCAAGTTTGACTTAAAGTAATTCCAAGTCTCCTCCACATTCAGATCCTTGAGTTCTTCTATCCTGTTCACTTCCCTAAGTGATTTATGAAAGTTTGCCCCTAGTTGCAGATCTGTTTTTGTCTATCCTTCAATTTAGTTTAAATTGAATTAGCTCATGCCCTTTAGGATCAGTTCTTCTATGAAGTCCTCACTACTCACTAATACCAAATCTAAAATGGCATCACCTCATGTTGATTCAGTGACTATTTGGTGAAGAAATCTGTCCGTTTTCTCATCCAGGAATATCTGGACCCTACCATTATTAATAGCATTTGTCCTCCAATCTATACCTGGGAAATTAAAGTCTCCCATAATCACACAATTCCCAGTAGCATTTATTTAATTAAAAGCATTAAAGAGGTCTCTATCCATATCCAGATTGGATCCTGGTGGTCTGTAGCATACCCCAAGCACTAGCCCACTGGAGCCTCTGTTGGCTTTCTTCCTCAAAGTGATTTTGACCAAAAACAGATTCTATTTTATCCATTCCATCACTTCTAGTTTCTTTACAGTCTATCTCCTCATTAATATACATAGCTTCTCCACCACCTTTACTTCTGTCTTTCCCAAATAGCACATACCCTTCAATATCTGTACTCCAGCCATGACTACTATTCCACCATGTTTCTGTTATCCCTCTAATATCTGGTTTCATTTCCTACATCAGTGATTCTAATTGCTCCATTTTGCATTGGTGTACAGACATCTTAGTTGCTTCTGCTTGGCTTCACCCAGATTCCTCACACGGTCATTTTACTGCCAGTATCGCCTACCTGACCGTTAGTGTCTTTGGTATCAGCACTATATTTCCTCTTAATGACCCTTCTCCTACCCACTGCTGTTCCTTTCCCCATTGCTGTATCCTCTTTTACTTGATTTTCCTCCTGCTCAATATTAGAGTCAGGCGAGGAGATTACATGAGTATCTCCCAAACATTTTCCCTGAATTCCTAATTTAAAGCTCTTTTAATCAGTTCTGCCAACCTGCACTGCCGAAGTCTATTTCCCTCCCTACTCAGGTGAAGTCCATCCCATGAGGTTCTGTCCGTGAATGCCTCCCAGTGGTCAAACATAGAATCATAGAGTATCAGGGTTGGAAGGGACCTCAGGAGGTCATCTAGTCCAACCCCCTGCTCAAACCAGGACCAATCCCCAGTTTTTGCCCCCGATCCCTAAATGGCCCCTTCAAGGATTGAACTCACAACCCTGGGTTTAGCAGGCTAATCCTCCCCAAAAGCCCGCTTTATAGTGTTGGATCATATTAAAGAAGTTCTGTATTAAAATCACAAATGAGTTTGATTCCCCATTGTTTCAATTCCAGGATATTACTAATTAAGAGTACTTGGTTTTTGGTACTGTTTCTCTCCCTCTATGTGTGAAACTTGCAAGCTGCTAATTGCGTTAGTACATTCTAAGACAGAGTCTGTTCTCAAAGCAATTCTTTGTAATAACAACTACTCACACAGAGAGAGTCAAAGCAATACTCTGTAACAACAGAAACAGCACCCAGAGACTCCCCGCCCTTTTGTTGTATTCATCTTGCTTTGTTAAGAATTGTGATTTAAAATAGAGACAGAGGATGTATGTGGATGGATGCTTGGTGTGGATAATAACTGAATGATCAGGGAGGTGCCAGCCTAAGAATCCAGTGTCCATCGGCTGAAGAAGGCGTCAAGTGGAAATAACCAGAGGACCGCCGGAGGGCAGACTGGAATCCACCCAACAGCCTGAAGAATGGGAGAACCAAAGAACAAGATAACATCTAGCAGCACGGAGACGTCAGGAATGTGCCATCTGCTGATTGATTCAGCAACAGCATGATGAAGCAATTCCCATAGACTGGCATAGGAAGAAATTCCTATAAAAATGGACTCTAGAAAGTGAGAACTTTGGGGTCTGATTCTGCAAACCAACTTCCAGGAGCATCAGATGTACATCTGACAAGGCCCTGCTTCCTCCTCATGTCCAGGCAACCTGGCCAGTGGCTTGGCATGAGCAGCTCTAAGGCTGGTAACTATTATAACAACCTTGCAGAACCTCTGTTTGTGTGTGTGTGTGTGTGTGTATGAATGAATGTGTGAATAAATATGAGATTGAATGGAATGTTATAGCTATAACTAACTGCTTACTATGATTCTTTCTGTATTCACAATAAATGTGGCATTTTGCCTTTTCCCCTTTAATAAGATCCTGCTGGTTTTTATTTTATTGGTATAACAATAGCACCACTGCCTGAGCTATCTATTGATTATCATAATCTTGTTTTGCCTTCATTCTCCTCCTCCAGGGACAGGTAGAATCCCACTGAAGATCACCTGAGCCTCCATTTCCTTAAGCATCTTCTCTAGCCTGGCATAGTCTTCCTGGATGTGTTCCAGTGAGAATCTAGCTGTGTCATTTGTTCCCATATGAAGAACAATCAGTGGATTCTTTCCTGCTCCCATTAGGACCCTCTTCAGTCTCAGGTCCAGATCCTGTATCTTAGCTCCTGGTAGATAGCTCACCCCTCTGTTCTCTGGATCAGCTCTGGTGACAGACCTTTCAGTTTTTCTTAGTAGGGAGTCCCCAGTCATATAGACCTGCCTCTTCCTGGTGGTGATGAGATTCTCCAGCCTTCTTCCTGACCGTTCAGGCTGCAAGTCCTCTTGTCTTTTGTTCTCACTTGCAATCTTCTGTGAAAAGAAAAGGAGTACTTGTGGCACCTTAGAGACTAACCAATTTATTTGAGCATGAGCTTTCGTGAGCTACAGCTCACTTCATCAGATGCATACCGTGGAAACTGCAGCAGACTTTATATATACACAGAGAATATGAAACAATACCTGCTCCCACCCCACTGTCCTGCTGGTAATAGCTTATCTAAAGTGATCATCAGGTGGGCCATTTCCAGCACAAATCCAGGTTTTCTCACCCTCCACCCCCCCACACAAATTCACTCTCCTGCTGGTGCTAGCCCATCCAAAGTGACAACTCTTTACATAATCAAGTTGGGCTATTTCCTGCATAAATCCAGGTTTTCTCACATCCCCCCCACCCCCATACACACACAAATGTGATGATGTGAGATGTGAGAAAACCTGGATTTATGCAAAAAAACTTCAAATCCAGACTCCAGCGAGAAACTGCTGAATTGGAATTCATTTGCAAATTGGATACTATTAATTTAGGCTTAAATAGAGACTGGGAGTGGCTAAGTCATTATGCAAGGTAGCCTGTTTCCTCTTGTTTTTTCCTACCCCCCCCCCCCCAGATGTTCTGGTTTAACTTGGATTTAAACTTGGAGAGTGGTCAGTTTAGATGAGCTATTACCAGCAGGAGAGTGAGTTTGTGTGTGTATGGGGGTGGGGGGGATGTGAGAAAACCTGGATTGGTGCAGGAAATAGCCCGACTTGATTATGTAAAGAGTTGTCACTTTGGATGGGCTAGCACCAGCAGGAGAGTGAATTTGTGTGGGGGGGTGGAGGGTGAGAAAACCTGGATTTGTGCTGGAAATGGCCCACCTGATGATCACTTTAGATAAGCAATTACCAGCAGGACAGTGGGGTGGGAGGAGGTATTGTTTCATATTCTCTGTGTATATATAAAGTCTGCTGCAGTTTCCACGGTATACATCTGATGAAGTGAGCTGTGGCTCACGAAAGCTCATGCTCAAATAAATTGGTTAGTCTCTAAGGTGCCACAAGTACTCCTTTTCTTTTTGTGTCAGGCACGTAATTCATTCTCCCAAGAAATGACTTAGGTACTGCAGCTGCCTGACTCAGGAGAGGGGATCACAAGCAGAGATTGGTGCCTTGCTGCAGCCCAGATTTAGGTACATATCTCTGTGACAGAGGCATGGCTTTGGAAACACCCTTCTTATCAGCATCTCCCATTGGCTAGTTTAGGTGGGTCCCCAGCTAGAGTGTTGGCTTTTGTGGATCTCATTCATAGGTGTCTAACCTTCCCTATTTATTGCATAGGGAGCCTAGGCACCTAGCTCAGGCTTTAGGGACTGCTGTGCTATTCCTGTGATTTTCTAGGTACCTAAAAGTTGACATTGTGACTCCTAAGTCCCTTTGTGGATCCAGGCCTAATCCTGTATTTTATTACCTCATTTCAAATACAGTTATACTTAACCTAAATGCACAGGAATAAGCTTGCATCTCCTGTATATTCAGCTGCAGTATGATGCTGTGATAAAGTGATACCATGATATTCTCAAGGCTGGGTAGTTTGATCTTTTCTGAAATTCTAGATGACAATTTAAAACAATGGGAAGTTCAAGCAAAGGACATGAACGTATTGTAATCACACAGTACCATTAAATGCGTTTTCTTATTTGGAAACTTTCAGTATCATCAATATAAAAATAATTTGGGGAGAAAAAGGCAAATTCACTAAAATCCTAAAGTGCTAATTAAATTTAACTGCACAATTTCAATTAAAGCTCTATTAAAATAATGCTACCAACACCATAACCTCATTGAAATCTTCAGATTAGGGAGGTAAAAATGCCTCACAGAAAACAAGGAAAGACATTTTAATTGAAAGGAATTTTGCTGTCCATACAGTATGTAATTTTACAGGGAGGTTTCACCTCTCAATAATTTCCATAAACCAGGATCATTGTTGCTCAGACTTGGTCCACGCGAGGAACTTACGTTGGTATAACTATGTTGCTCAAGGGTATGGAAAATCGACACCCCTGAGTAAGTAGTTATACCAACCTAACCCACAGTGTAGACAGCGCTCTGTCAATGGGAGGGCTTCTCCCGTCGACATAGCTACGGCCTGTCAGGAGGTGGAGTACCTATGCTGACAAGGGAAGTTCACCCATTGGTGTAGGTAATGTCTTCACTAAGTGCTACAGCAGCACAGCTACACAGGTGCAGCTGCAGTGCTATAAGTATAGACAAGCTTTCAGAGCTCTCTCCTGCCAACAAACAGTGGCTACACTGCATAGTGCAGACATAGCCTAAAAGCACTACAGCATACTCACCCACGCCCAACCCCCGAACTGAACCCAAGATTCCTGCATATCAACATTGCTTTGTTCTCCAGCAAATAGCTGTGAATCCCCATAGCAAAGTTTGTGTCTTACCTGTAGTGGCTGGTCCACAAAGAGGATAACAGCCTACTGCTGCTACTAATTACTCAGTGAGCTCAAGTGATAGAGGTCTGTGCTGTGAATCTAAAATTTCCAGCCTTGGTGACACCCTATCTGGGTGTCAATGTGACTGATGGAATGGAATTTCTGTTTTTTTTTAGTTTGTGCTTTTAAAAACTTAGGAAATTGGGCAGCCTTAATTCTGGCGTTTCCTAACTTTTGTGTGCTTGACTGTGCAAGTCTAATGTTTTAGAGTAGTTTTTGCCCAATGTAATATCTATCTACCCTAGGTACTTATCTGTCCCCCCTCACTGTGTATCTGTGCACCTCACAGTCTCAAATGTGTTTATCCTCACAACACCCCGTGAAGTGGAAAAGTGCCGTGATCCCCATTTTAGAGATGGGGAACTGAGGCACAGTGATACTATATGAATTACCCAAAGTGACACACAAAGTCTGTGGCAGAGCAGGGAACTGCACGCAGGTCTCAGACTAGCGCCATATGTTTCTCAAATGTGGCCACCAGGGGTTTTCTTGCAGCCACAGCCTCCTGGGCAGTGACTGGGGGGTGGGGGCAAAGCAGCAGCTCCTTCCCTGGAGCTGCAAGAAGGGGTTGGGCCCTGCCATCCTCTGCAGCCAGAAACACCGGAGGAGCAAGCAGCCAGTGAGCTCTCCACCTTCCCTGGGACAGTGGGGCTCTGGCTTCTGGCTTCAGCCCTAGGGTGGCAGGTGGGAGGCTCCAGCCGGGGAGCAGCAGGTCCTGGTCATGGACTCTGACCATGGGGCCTTCGGTTGCACATCAGTGGGCTCCGTCCCCCAGCCAATGGGCTTCGGGTTCACCAGCCCCATCATCGCCCCTGCCCCCGCTGCCGCCCCCGGCCCTTCACACATTGTGTAAGCTGGGGTCTGAATGAGCTCTCTCCTGACATCCACTGATGAACTGGGGGAAAACACGTCAGGAACAGACTATATTTGCATAGAGACGCGACTCTGCCTATGTGATAAGCAGACAGAGCTGCTTTGCCAAAGTGATAAATTTTGGCTGTTCTGGGTTAAAATTCACTTTAGTCTTGAATGCAGAGGTAATGATATGTTATTACCCTTCTTGTAGGACTAAAGGACAGCAGAAATGTACTTAATATGCCCTACCGGAGGGGGTAATCCTAACTTTAACTTCACTCACTAAGCAGGGGGTACCGATGCCAAAACCAAGTAAAATTCAGCGGGACTGGGGACACGCGTTCCTTCCTGCTGTTGTGGATGCTATTTGACACTCTTTTGATCTAGGGATAGTGCTGCAGTAAAAGACAAGGCAGAGGCTGCAGCCACAGTAGAGATTCCCTACTACCTGGTAAAATCATTAAGAGCTGGACTAAGTGGTAGTACCTCAGAACATAGTGTTACAGCTAAAAGAAAAGGAGTACTTGTGGCACCTTAGAAACTAACCAATTTATTTGAGCATGAGCTTTCATGAGCTACAGCTCACTTCATCGGATGCATACCGTGGAAACTGCAGCAGACTTTATATACACACAGAGAATATGAAACAATTCATAGATTCATAGATTCATAGATATTTAGGCCAGAAGGGACCATTATGATCATCTAGTCTGACCTCCTGCACAATGCAGGCCACAGAATTTCACCCACCACTCCTAAAAAAGACCTCACATCTATATCTGTGCTATTGAAGTCCCCAAATTGTAGTTTGAAGACCTCAAGGAGCAGAGAATCCTCCAGCAAGTGACCCGTGCCCCATGCTACAGAGGAAGGCAAAAAACCTCCAGGGCCTTCCAATCTGCCCTGGAGGAAAATTCCTTCCCGACCCCAAATATGGCGATCAGCTAAACCCTGAGCATATGGGCAAGATTCATCAGCCAGATACTACAGAAAATTCCTCCCACCCCACTGTCCTGCTGGTAATAGCTTATCTAAAGTGATCATCAGGTTGGGCCATTTCCAGCACAAATCCAGGTTTTCTCACCCTCCACCCCCCCACACAAATTCACTCTCCTGTCCATCCAAAGTGACCACTCTTTACACAATGTGCATGATAATCAAGTTGGGCCATTTCCTGCACAAATCCAGGTTCTCTCACCAGCAGGATAGTGAGTTTGTGTGTGTGGTTTTTGGGAGGGGGGTGAGGGGGTGAGAGAACCTGGATTTGTGCAGGAAATGGCCCAACTTGATTATCATGCACATTGTGTAAAGAGTTGTCACTTTGGATGGGCTATCACCAGCAGGAGAGTGAATTTGTGTGGGGGGGTGGAGGGCGAGAAAACCTGGATTTGTGCTGGAAATGGCCCAACCTGATGATCACTTTAGATAAGCTATTACCAGCAGGACAGTGGGGTGGGAGGAGGTATTGTTTCATATTCTCTGTGTATATATAAAGTCTGCTGCAGTTTCCACGGTATGCATCCGATGAAGTGAGCTGTAGCTCATGAAAGCTTATGCTCAAATAAATTGGTTAGTCTCTAAGGTGCCACAAGTACTCCTTTTCTTTTTGCGAAGACAGACTAACACGGCTGTTACTCTGAAACCTATTACAGCTAGACGCACCCAGGAGAACCAATGGCCTGGTGTTTAGGATACTCACCTAGGAAGTGGGAGATGCAGGGTCTAAATCCAGTTCTCTGTTGATGTATTCAGTGGCAAGGTGCTCTGGTGCCAATATAGGTTTGTGTGTGTTGCCTCTTGCTCCACCACAGTTCAGAGATCCTATTGCTGCAAGTCCATCCACTATGTCCTGCACATTGCGAAGAGTGACAGTCCTGTGTAGCAGGGGATGAGTAATGGCTCTACACACTTGCTATCAGGGAGCACAGGTCTTGAACTTTGCCCCAGGTCTCTTTGGAGCTAGAACATTCCCACCTGCCAACTAGTGATCCACTAACAGTTGTCAGAATAGGAGCTCGGCTCCTGGGCACCTGTGCTCTCCTGCCCAGCCCCAACTGCAGCATTCCCATGCTGACCTGCCTCTGAGCACTACCCTGTGCCAGCTCGGAGGATGCTTTTCAGGCGGGAGGGGAAAGGACTGCCTGGCAGGTGCTCCTGTGCTTCCAGCGCTGGTAGCTACGCCCCTCGTGGAGGTGTTTTTTTGAGAGCGCTGGGAGAGCTCTCCCCCAGCTCCGTGCTGCGACCACACAAGGCACGTTAAAGCACTGCTGCAGTAGCAGTTTAGCATTGCCAGCGCAGACTAACCCCGAGTAACAGTGACCACTGCAAGCTTCCAGAATGTGATTGTGACTTGCTTCTCAGCTGTCAGTGCAGCTCTCATTCTGATGTCCCTGCGCGGAGAGCTGGGGCGAGCACAATGCACAGATCCAGGAACGTGGTCTTGCGCATCCACGAGTTCTGCAGCCACTGCTTGATATCCCAGACCTACATGACAATGAGATCCCACCAGTCAGTGCTCCTTTCTCAGACCCAGAAGTGCTGCTCCACCATTTGTAGCTGCTCTGTGAACACCACCAATGTTTTTTTCACTATCTCTCTCAGCAAACTGTCCTCCAAGAAATCATCATATCCCCCATTGTTACAGTTCTTCCTATGGGTCTGCAAATACTGGAGGATCATTTGTCCTGTATTTGCAATGTTCATGAGAACAGAGCAGAGCTCTGAGGACTCCAGGGTTCTGTCAGAGACGGCAGATACTGAAAAGTGTTGCATAGGTTTGTGGGGTTTAAAAAAAGGCACAAAAAATCTGGGATCAGAATGGCATTATTGGATAGAGAATGATGCATTCAAGGAACTTGATCCCTAGCTCATTTCTACCCTCCAACACATTGTGAAAACTTTCCCAAAGGCTTTGCACTGGATGTTGCCATATGCCACAGTGGTGCACTGCACATTGCATTGACACCAGCGCTCCTGGTGTGTACGAGCTGTGCTGATCCAAACAGCCAAGTGTGCATGCCCCGTGCGATCTACTAACAGTGGCAGCTGTACACTGACAAAACTTGCGTCAACCAAAATTTGTAGTATAGACGTGGCCATAGCTGTGTTTGCACTGTACACTCTACACTAGACAGCTGGTAGGAGAAGAACGTTCCTGCCTTTAGGAACTCCAGCACTTCCAGTTTCTCTCAGTAAAAATACATTTTCTGTAAAACAAATTCTGGTTTGAGCCTCCTTTACCTTTCAGAGTGGTGCTCTTTGCCAAAGGCTTCTGCTGACCCCTCAATCAGCACCTCGTGGAGTCGGCTTTTCTTTAACAGAATAAACTGAACTCTTTCCTCTTCCTCGGGTGAAACGTTGACAGAGACCATAGGTCAGCCTGGGCAGGCACAAGGCGCATAACAGGCCACTGCAGCTGCTGAAGAAAAAATGTAAACAGCTCCATGGTGATGGGCATTGTGCCAACAGCACTTGGTCTGCAGATTTGAAAATAAGGCGCCAAATGTGTTTTTGAAAGAATACAGAGTTTGTTTGCACTGCTGTTGGGACCACTGCCAAAGTTTTATGTAGTATTAGTATGGGACTATGTTCAAGACAGCTCCCCTCTAAAACACTGCAGCCTAGGCAGCAATGATCTCAGTGATTGCTACAGCAGGCTCTAAAGCTTGGACTAGGGAGGACTAATAAAGGGAGCTTCATGAATTCAGAGATTTAATCAGCAATCCGCTTCCTCTACTAATACTGAACATGTGGCCATCAGAGTCTAACAAATACCAAACAGATTATTAGTTCTGCTGAGGTGCACCCTACTGAAGATTGGTGAAACCTGAAACTCTGCACGTTATTAAGAACTCAACAATGATCATTCTGTCATGTTTGTACTAGGGGGTATGAACCCAGAAGCCAAGTGTGCAGACTATTCCTCTAATGGGCCAAACTGGAACCGCCGGTCTCAAAGCCCAGAATTATGGAGAAAGTTTGGATCTGGATTCTGAACCCTCAAATTCCAGAGAGTTCAGAGCTGGGGTTTGGTTTTGCCCACTATAGAGACAGGTCATTTGGATTCAGATCTGGAGTATGAGTTGAGGATTCTGCCCATTATATTAATTTAGTTTGATTTAAACACACCCCAAATACACCAGTCTCAGATTCCTTATGGTCCTCTGTGGATTAAAGACACAAGGCTCGATTTTCTCATCAGCTACAGCCCCTTTGCGCCACTCAGCAGCACAATGGGGCTGGATTCTGGCCATAAATGCACAGTGGAAAATGCCCCTTGTGCAGGGAAACTCCCCATTGGCATAAGGCATCAAAAGTAGCAAAGACAACTCCTGTGCCACCTCCCTACAGCTCCCCCTCTCCTTTGTATCCAAGTGCAGTGGAGAGTTGGGAGCACAAGCTATAACCAATATACCCATTGCAAACCAATCCTACCTCGCTACAGACAGGCACTAATAGGCACATTCAATTACAGCACCAAATCCCCTCCCAGGAAGCCCCGCGCCACCCACCATTTCCCTCCACAAAAGCCCACTCACAAAGGTGGAGGAGCTGGCGACTGAAATAAGGTGAGTGTGACTCACATTTAAAAACAATCCGAATTTTTTTTTCAAAATAATGAAACCTCAAAAAGCTTCAGTTTTTGTTTTCCCCTTTTTTAGATGCAACATGGAAAAAAAGAAAAGAAAGAGAAAAAACCCAGACCCAGACCCAGACCCAGAATTTGAATGTTGGGTTTGGTTTAGGCCCCTCTCATTTACAAAGTCTCACTTGCTGCCACAGCCCCCTGCAAGGGCTTTTTTAACTTTGGGGCGCTATCAATATAACTAGAATGAAACACTGCCCTGGGTCAGAATTTCAAACGGCACAAATTCTGGGTCTGTTGGGAGCAGAAGTGCTGGCTTTCAATTAAAACTTACATGAAGAACCATGCCACCTCCCTACAGCTCTCCCTCTCCTTTGTATCCAAGTGCAGTGGAGAGTTGGGCGCACAAGCTATAACCAATATACCCCTTGCAAACCATATGGAGTGGAAATCTATCAACTTCATGAAAAAACTTGTACAGATACAGACAGACATCATCTTCCTTTCCAAATGCAAACAGATGGACATCATACCAAAAGGACTGAAGGTAAAAAATCCATTACAATCTACATACCACACAGACTATGCTGACAGCTTGTGCCACACACTCTCAAAGAAACTGCAGAACCACCTGATCAACATCCTCCACAGCAAACAGGGAAAGATTAAGAATGAGCTCTCAAAACTGGATACTCTCATAAAAAACCAACCTTCCACACAAACTTCCTCGTGGCTGGACTTTACTAAAACTAGACAAGCCATTTACAACACACACTTTGCTTCTCTACAAAAGAAAAAGGACACTAAATTATCTAAACTACTACATGCCACAAGGGGCCACAGCAATGGTTCCCTTAACCCACCCAGCAATATTGTTAATCTATCCAACTATACTCTTAGCCCAGCAGAAGAATCTATCCTATCTCAGGGCTTCTCCTTCTGCCCCTCCACCCCCATGAACATGATACAGTTCTGTGGTGACCTAGAATCCTATTTTCAACGTCTCCGACTCAAGGAATATTTCCAACACACCTCTGAACAACATACTAATCCACAGAGACCTTCCTACCAACCCTACAAGAAGAAGGATTCTAGGTGGACTCCTCCTGAAGGTCGAAACAGCAGACTGGACTTCTACATAGAGTGCTTCCGCCGACGTGCACGGGCTGAAATTGTGGAAAAGCAGCATCACTTGCTCCACAACCTCAGCCGTGCAGAACACAATGCCATCCACAGCCTCAGAAACAACTCTGACATCATAATCAAAAAGGCTGACAAAGGAGGTGCTGTTGTCATCATGAATAGGTCAGAATATGAACAAGAGGCTGCTTGGCAGCTCTCCAACACCACTTTCTACAAGCCATTACCCTCTGATCCCACTGAGGGTTACCAAAAGAAACGACAGCATTTGCTCAAGAAACTCCCTGAAAAAGCACAAGAACAAATCCGCACAGACACACCCCTGGAACCCCGACCTGGGGTATTCTATCTGCTACCCAAGATCCATAAACCTTGAAATCCTGGGCACCTCATCATCTCAGGCATTGGCACCCTGACAGCAGGATTGTCTGGCTATGTAGACTCCCTCCTCAGGCCCTATGCTACCAGCACTCCCAGCTATCTTCGAGACACCACTGACTTCCTGAGGAAACGACAATCCATCGGTGATCTTCCTGAAAACACCATCCTGGCCACTATGGATGTAGAAGCCCTCAACACCAACATTCCACACAAAGATGGACTATAAGCCATCAGGAACAGTATCCCCAATAATGTCACGGCAAACCTGGTGGCTGAACTTTGTGACTCACCCATAACTATTTCACATTTGGGGACAATGTATACCTTCAAATCAGCAGCACTGCTATGGGTACCCGCATGGCCCCACAGTATACCAACATTTTTATGGCTGACTTAGAACAACGCTTCCTCAGCTGTCATCCCCTAACGCCCCTACTCTACTTGCACTATATTGATGACATCTTCATCATCTGGATCCATGGAAAAGAAGCCCTTGAGGAATTCCACCATGATTTCAACAATTTCCATCCCACCATCAACCTCAGCCTGGACCAGTCCACACAAGAGATCCACTTCCTGGACACTATGGTGCTAATAAGCGATGGTCACATAAACACCACCCTATACCGGAAACCTACTGACCACTATTCCTACTTACAAGCCTCCAGCTTTCACCCAGACCACACCACACGATCCATCGTCTACAGCCAAGCTCTATGATACAACCACATTTGCTCCAACCCCTCAGACAGAGACAAACACCTACAAGATCTCTATCAAGCATTCTTACAACTACAGTACCCACCTGCTGAAGTGAAGAAACAGATTGACAGAGCCAGAAGAGTACCCAGAAGTCACCTACTACAGGACTGGCCCAACAAAGAAAATAACAGAACGCCACTAGCAGTCACCTTCAGCCCCCAACTAAAACCTCTCCAACGCATTATCAAGGCTCTACAACCTATCCTGAAGGACGACCCATCACTCTCAGAAATCTTGGGAGACAGGCCAGTCCTTGCCTACAGACAGCCCCCCAACCTGAAGCAAATACTCAGTAGCAACCACACACCACACAACAGAACCACTAACCCAGGAACCTATCCTTGCAACAAAGCCCGTTGCAAACTGTGTCCACGTATCTATTCAGGGGACACCATCACAGGGCCTAATAACATCAGCCACACTATCAGAGGCCCGTTCACCTGCACATCTACCAATGTGATATATGCCATCATGTGTCAGCAATGCCCCTCTGCCATGTACATTGGTCAAACTGGACAGTCTCTACGTAAAAGAATAAATGGACACAAATCAGATGTCAAGAATTATAACATTCATAAACCAGTTGGAGAACAATCTCTCTGGTCACTCGATTTCTGATCTAAAAGTGACTATTCTTCAACAAAAAAACTTCGAAAACAGACTGCAATGAGAGACTGCTGAATTGGAATTAATTTGCAAATTGGATACAATTAACTTAGGCTTGAATAGAGACTGGGAGTGGTTGGGTCATTATACAAAGTAAAACTATTTCCCCTTGTTTATTCCTCCCCTCCCTCCCCCCACTGTTCCTCAGACGTTCTTGTTAACTCCTGGAAATATGCTGGAAATGGCCCACCTTGATTATCACTTCAAAAGATTTTCTCTCCCCCCACCCCACTCTCCTGCTGGTAATAGCTCATCTTAAGCGATCACTCTCCTTACAATGTGTATGATAAACACCCATTTTTTCATGGTCTGTGTGTATATAAATCTGTATTTTCCTGTATTTTACTGTATTTTCCACTTTATGCATCCGATGAAGTGAGCTGTAGCTCACGAAAGCTTATGCTCAAATAAATTGGTTAGTCTCTAAGGTGCCACAAGTATTCCTTTTCTTCATGCCAGTGAGGTCAGTTTAGATTTTCCCGGACCCCGTCATAGTCCTGTTGTTATGCAATGTGTCTGCGCTTAATGAGCCTATGATGGCAAAATCCAGCCATTTATTTCCACTCAAATCTGCTGTACCCTTCATACTAGCTGCCTTTTGGTTTAGGTGGGAAGGCATTTCATTTCTATGGCAGATGAGGACTAATTACCGTGACCCAGGAAAGTTCCTTCCTTTCTGCAGTATTGTTGAGATGGCTCGTTTTGGCACACAGTTCTCTGATGTTTGTGACTGCACCTTCTGAGTGACTCACTCAGCAGGCAAATGCAGCCAATTCAAATTCTGGCCAAGACACTGACTGGTGTGTGCTGTGTTGAACCCACAGCTCCACCTTCCTCTGTTTCTCTGTGGCCGGATGTGGAATTCAGTTCCTGAC